TAATCAGCGGCCATCAGCAAGGCAGGCTGCAGGCAGTGGGTCCCTTACAGTTTGAGCTTCTTTAACAACTTTCAGTAAAGCCGTTCAGTTCTTATTTTCATCTAATTTTTGTGATTTATTTTTATTTTTACAAGGTCTTTTTTATGTGATCTGAAATAGTATTAACAGAAAAAGTGGTGCCAGTGTTCAGATGAGTTCACATTTAAAACCATTGATGAGTGACTTGTGACTGACACTAGCTTTAGTTGTAAATCCACAACAATGTTGGGCAGGATATATATATATATATATATATATATTGCACGTTTATCCCAGTAAAGCAACTCTGAAGTCCTGTAATGTGTCTACACATGAATGAAAGGTGTCCTGCAGGTTGAGTTGTAGTATTAAAACACATTTTCTTGAAACAATAAAATACAGTTTATCTGTGTTTGATGCTTCGGTTCCATAAATTCCTTCACTTAAACTTCCTGAAGCCCTCGAGCTGGAAAGGCCTGTTTGACGGCACAGAAATGATGGACAGTTGTCAAACATGAAACTATTGACACAAGAAGAATAAGAGATGGGATATAGGATAGGTTAGGCAGAACTCAAGCTGGGACTAAAGTCAATATTTGTCTTCAGTTGCCTTGTCTCTCCGTGTGTGCACAGCACAAGCATCGTCCAGTCGAGCACCTTGTTGCAGCCAGGCCGCAGATAACATGGCTACAGTGGGCCCACCTCTTCCAGTCTGATAGTTATCAGGATACACAGGGAAGAGCGATGTCGCTTCGTTGAGGTGATGAATCGTTTAGAAAGTACTGAGGCCATTTGTTTCACAGCAAGAGTACAATAAGCCATCACTAATCAAACATAAAATATTTGTTTAAGATATGTTTATTCCTCTGCTGAGGCTTCTGTGGAAGTGGTTGCATTTTCTGAATCACACTGGTTTGGCAAACTGACATGTCAAACCATTTGGACTGGACTCCAGCAGAATCGACCATTCTACTGAGACGGTTTACCGTAATAAACTTATTCCTGGGTGATCAGTGTTCTCGAGACGTACTGAGCCCATCATCTCGACAGACACTCAGTCCACCCTGATAAACACAACTCAAAAGGGGGGACGAGAGAAAAAACTGAAATGCTGAAATTCAAATCTTGGAGCTCAACAACCTGATACTGAGAGTGAGAAGGAAAATACCCTAACTTGAAGAAAAACGGTCAAAATGTATTCAGTTACTTCACCTCTAATCTGCTCAGTAAAAACAAATCTTGTTTTCTTCCAAAGAGGCAGTTTTGTTTTATAAAACCCACTTTGTCCTTCCCAGATATTCATTCTTCTTCATGGATATTTCTGTAGAATAACAGCTAAATGCATTGACTCAGAGGGCTAAATGTCATTTTAGTTTTTGTGCTTGGATTCAAACCACAAATGTCACTTGATATTATTTTATCTTTTAGACTGTAATTAGTATCTTTATATATTTTTTAAAAAAAGAGGGGGAGTGGTGGCACCGAGGTAAGAGAAGGCGAGGACGTGATCGAAAGGTCGCCAGTTCAACCTCCTGGACCAACATCAAAATGTAGGTGAGAAAGGTGAAGCACCCACACCTGCCTCCACCCTCATTTGCCCCACTCTGGGCCCGTGAGCAAGCCCCTTAACCCCCACCATCTGCTCTCCTGGGTGCCCTATATAGCAGCTCTCTGCTCCACACAGAGGGCTGTGGTAGCTCAGTGGTTGCGTCAGGAAGGGCGTCCGGCGTAAAAACAATCGCCAAGTCTTCGTGCGAGTTAATTCACTGTGACGACCCCTGAAGAAGGGAACAGCCGAAAGAAGAGACCCATCCGTTAGATATATTTTAAAAAGAGATTTGTTCTCTTGTATGAAATGAACGTCACAGAACTTAACGACACTCGCTGAGAAACAATGAAAGTTTAGTCTCGGTTCATTTAACGTCATCGTGCATTAACACCAGTTCAGAGCTCATTTCCAGAACAGAATGAGGCTTCTCGTAAAGAAAACAAGACGAGCCCATCTGTTGCACAAAGTTATTTTTATGAACGTATTGAAGTGAAAAACTGCTCATGTTTTTGTGCGTCTGCCGAGCTGCAAACCAAAAGTCCAAACCCCGTGTGTAAAGCTTTAAATTTAAAGGCAAAGGTGGGCGATAATGTTTTTGTCTGCGTGAGCATTCATTTGTCTTTATCAAAACACCTCATGAACCACTTCTTTAAAAAAACAAAAACACAAGTGAGTCATCATTTCAATGTTAATTTAATCATAAAAAGGCTTAATTATAGATACAGAAAAAAAAGCTTTATTTTGACAATTCCTCTTCAGATAAATGTGCTAATTTTTAAGGACTTTGTAAACGTTCCTCTCATCCACTCACCATGCCACCCACCTCAAGTCCAAACAGTCAAACAAACAAACAAACAAACAAACAAAAAAATAAATCTAAAATCCAGCAATTTTTCTACTTTTTAGCATCTGTCTCCCTCACGCAAGACCAGCAATCCCAGAGCAGGGAAGCATACACAGAAAACAAACAAACAGACAAACAAACAGAACAGTGTATACTGTTTGGGAAGAGGACTCTCAACACAAACAACACGCTGCAGAAGCTGCTGCTTCGTGTGACAAATACAGAAGAAACAAATGTCAGCTGTGTTCACACTAACAACTCAGAGGAAACAACAAATAAATAAAATGACAAATCATTTGGCTTGAACACCTCTCCAGACAAAAAAAAAAAACCGTTACCTCAAAGTTACATCAATAAATGTGTCCATCTTTATTTTATGCCCCCCCCCCCACCACAAAAAAATACATGAAATTTACAGACACAACAAAAGCTGCGGAATCTTCAGATGTACCAGCTGCTTTATGTGATGAAAACAATAAAATAATCCTCATTTCTATCATTTCTGTAGCCATCATACAGGTGTTTAACATCTGAATGTTCAGACTTTAACACAGAGCAAACAAATCAAAACTAGATGGGTTTTTTTTTATGCTGGTGTCACAATTCACAAAAAGCCAAAAGAAATCTCGTTTGTCTTCAATGAAGGCAGTTGATGAGATAGTGCAAATAGCAATCAACAGAACACTGCTAACAACGCTGATGCAAACCAGTAAACTTTCACTTTCAGAGGATCCACCAGCACTGAAACTCCTCTAGTGAAGCATCAAGCCCGTCATCTGATGTTTAGCACCACCTACTGGTAGTAAATGGGAGCACTTTGACTCTGCAGTGCATAAAACAAGACAGCAAATAAATATCAGGGCGAGTCTTGAATCATTTCATCCAGACGGCACAAAAATCACTCAGAACATTTAGGAGGTACTACACACAGGTTAAAGCTGTCTCGTTTGTGATGAGTCTGTTTCAAGTCGTCTTTTACCCAAGTAGTATACACCCAAAAACACTGATGTACATGCACACGCACACAACAGGCGCACACGCACACAACAGGCACACACACGCACAGAGGGTCTCTTTTTTACATTTTAGGACACAAACTGTAGACATGACACCATCTCCAGTCACTCTCCAGGCAACATAAGATTCAAATGGCTTTTTCAACCCTTTCTCACACCCGTCTTGATCAAACTCACGTCCTATCTGTGTTTCAGCACTTCTTTAAAGTGAAAACGACCCTAAAAACACAGCCGGTCCCCGTGGGGTCTGATCTGGGCACCTGCAGACCGAGTGACTTAACAACAGAACAGATTAGTGTCTTGACTCTGGAGTTTTTTTCTTTGGGTGAAATGGGGTTCCTACACAAGAACTGACAATATTTTCTCGAAAAAACAAAACAAAAAAGGAAAGAACAAATTCAGTCATATAAATTGGTAAATTCAAGCCTAATTTGATACATTACAAGAAAAATGATAAAATGCTTAGGGGACAGTTTGTGAGTTAGTTTTAGTGTTGCAGGTTCAGATTTCAAGTTATATACTGCTTTTATTTTCCAAAGAGGAAAGTACTCAAAAATCAAATAAAATGGTCTAATTTTAGATTTTCTTGCATGTGTTTAATAAAAATAAATTCCCTTCAGACCAAAGCTGACAGATCTGTGTTTTCTGATCTGGGTCAACTAAATTTTAATTCATAAAAAGCTTAAAACTGCAAGTTTCGACTCTAAAACTGAGAACACGGTGCAGTAACGTTACAGTTTAAACAGCAGATATCAAAACTTTTTACACATCTGAGCACATCCTCAATTTACAAAAAAAAATACTTGACTTTAACTGAACTTGTCTAATTATGCTTTTAAATTTGAGCAACTAGTCTTTAATTGAAATTCAATCAAAGACGTGTAAATAAAAAAAAACGCCTAATGAAGAAAGCTGGAGATCCTGGGATGGTTAGAAAGTTAACACAAACTGCTCAATTTCATCCAAAAACTACATTTAAGTCAAAACCAGACATTTAAGACAGTAAAACTGTGAAATTTTATGTAATTTTACATCAATTTTGATGCGGGATATTTCTCTTTAGCTCTGTGAAACAGACCTTGCTGACACGTCAACTTAAAATAAAAGAGCTCTTAAAATGTAACGATAATAATCTTTACCAACAAAGTAAATGAGCAGCCCATTGGTGAATGCAACTGATACGTTCCATGGCTGCTTTCAGGATGTGCGAAGCCACAAAATACATTTTTAAAGAGCAGTCTTGAACAAGTCAGGCTTGTCACAATGTGAGGCTGTCACCTAAAGGACTTCACCAGACAAGAGTAATAAAATTAAGTTTTTGGCAACAAAAAATAAAATAAAATTGGTGTAAAAACTATTCAAGGAATAAAAAAAATACTACTATATGACTCGTTTCTAAATATTTCAGAGTTGGGTAGGAACCCCAAAAAAGGTGTGTTGTTCATAAAAACACCAAATTATGTGCAGATTAGGATGATTTTTCTCTTAAATTAGGACATTGTACAGTGGAAAAAGAACATGTCACATGTATCTGTCTTTAAAGGTTTATAGCACTCTGAAAATGACTCATTCACACATGCAGCTCCGTGTCAGGATGTTCCAGTGTGGCACATGTGATCCATCACCTTACTGTCGATTCCAGTTTCTGTGAAAAGCTCCCGGGGGGATGGGGGGGTGGTGTTGAGGAGAGTTGCCATGAGTCAATACAAAACTGTTCCTTCCCCCCTCCACTCTCTGCTTTTAAAGATTCCCAGGGTGTGGAGGGGGGTCTTTGTCATTCTAGCTCTGTCCAAATGGATAAGGACCATGAATACCCTGTAAAAAAAAAGAGATAAAGTATTACTTTATAGTCTAGATGTGTTTTAAAACAAAAGACAGAATGACAGGTACAACTTGCACTTGATTATGGAAAAGCAATATTTTTCAGCAGTATTATAATTAATTCAATTAATTAAAATGATTATTTATAATGTATTTGTTTTAGCTCGAACACTGCCTTTATTGCATTAAATGAACTGTGACGTGCCCTAAACAGGAACGTTTTCTTGTGACTTGTAGAAGATTTGAGTGAAATGAGTGATGCTTTTCTCCACTCTTCTACGTACCTTTTAAAGACCTCGGCACAGGTCGAGTACCTGATGGGCAATCAACCAATAAATTCACCCTTGAATTACAGGGAACTCTTATCATATTGTTTACAATGAACGAGGAGGAAACCAAATGTACCTTTTAAGATGGACTGAAAGACTGGTCATGATGACCCACATCTAAACAACCATTAACATCAACAAGGACCCACACCAGTATGCATGCCACAAGAATCGATCCAACAGAAGACGTCATCTCTTCTATGGTTCACACTGCTCTCACCCACCTGGAGCAGAAGGACTCCTACGCCCATATGCTCTTTGTGGACTTCACATCTGCCTTCAACACCATGAATCCCCAGACCCTGATGGACAAACTACTCACACTAGGACTGGAGGGTCCTGGATTTCTTAACCAACAGACCACGTTCTGTAAGGATCCACAACTTCTCCTCCTCCGCCATAACCCTCAGCACTGGCTCTCCTCAGGGCTGTGTGTTGAGCCCCCTCCTGTTCATTCTGCTCACATATGACTGCACACCTACCCATCCAGGCTGTCACATTGTAAAGTTTGCAGATGACACAGCGGTGGTGGGATGCATCACAAGCAGTGATGAGTCTGGATACAGGCATGAGGTAGAACACCTGGAGAGCTAGTGCAGAAAGAACAACCTTCAAATCAAAGTGAAGAAAACGGAGATGGTCGTGGATTTCAGACGGAGAAAACACAACTCCCCCCACCTCCCGAATATAGGAAGATCTGCAGTGGAAGTGGTCTCCAGCTACAAGTAGTTGGGTGTATACCTGAATAACAACCTCAGCTGGGGCAACACCACCACCAGCATGATCAAGAAAGCTCATCAGAGACTACTTCCTCAGACAGCTGAGACGAGCTGGTCTGGGAAGCTCAGTCCTCACCTCCTTCTACAGGTGTGCAGTGGAGAGCATCCTGTGCTCCATCATCAATGCGTGGCATTGATGATGGAGCACAATGGAGGCTGCACAGCTGCAGAAAGAAAAGCTTTGCAGAGAGTGGTTAAGGCTGCACAAAAGACTGTTGGAGTCAGTCTCCCCACCATCACAGACATCTACACCTCCAGATGCAGGAAGAGGACCACCTGCATCATGAAGGACCCCACTCACCCAGCGAACACTTTTTGCCCCGCTCCCCTCAGGCAGGAGGTTAAGGAGCATTAAGCGTAGAACCACTAGACTGAGGAACAGCTTCTACCCTGAAGCTGTTAGACTCATGAATCTCTAACCAGAAAACCACTGTAATGGCACTTTAATTAGTGATATGGCTGTATTCATACCCATCTGCTCATCACCACAGACTCATGTTCAGGCTGCTGTTGTTACACCAAATTATTTTTACATTATTAGTGTTTAGCATATATCTTAGTGTAGGGGTGGGCGATATGGCTCAAATATAATATTGTGATATTACAGAGCATTCTGACGATAACAAAATTTTGCGATATAAAAAAAACATAAATCATAGTTATATATTTGACAAAATTAACTTAACATGTTGCTTTGCAGTATTACATAAAATGTAAAAAAAAAAAACCAAGGGGTAGGTAATTTTACTGAAATTACTTTATTTAGTAAAGTATTCAGTCTCCAAGTATAAAAATAAAAATGATCCTTCTGTTATTTAGATTGAAAAGTCTGCACAAAATATAGATCAATAAATCCACCACAAAAACTAAAGTGCAGGTGAAATTTCCCAAAAATAACTAAATAAAATTAAGCTTAATATCTGTTGAGCAGGGCAGCACGGTGGCACAACTGGTAGAGCTGCTGCCTTTCAGCGAGCAGGTCCCTGGTTCAAACCCCGGTCCAGGGGCCTTTCTGGGTGGAGTTTGCATGTTCTCTTCGTGCATGCGTGGGTTTTCTCCGGGTACTCCGGTTTCCTCCCACAGACCAAAAACATGCATGTTAGGCTGATTGGTAACTCTAAAATTGTCCCTAGGTGTGAGTGAGAGAGTGAATGGTTGTTTGTCTAGTTTGTCTCTATGTGGCCCTGTGATGGACTTGCGACCCGTTCAGGGTGTACCCCGCCCCTCGCACAGTGATTGCTGGACATGGGCACAGGCGACCCCCGTGACCCAAAATGGAACAAGCAGGTAAAGATAATGGATGGATGAATGGATGGATCTGTTGAGCATAAATGTAACATACAACAAAAATATGTTGCCTTTAAATGAGCTATAACTTCCAGAACTTGTAACAAGGTGATCAGCTGACCCTGAAGCTTGTGGTGTTTCAGCTTCCTCTGTTCCTGCAGGAATGATTCAATTCTCTGATGCTCTGTCTCTGATCACCCGATTCTGTTCTTAGTCCATGGACTGTGGAACTAAGGCCCTATTTACACGGACACGATGGGGGGGAAACGTAGTTTTTTTTGTATATTAATTAGAGGAAAAGATTTGCATCGACACGGCTGGATTTTGTGTTTACATGCATCCGGAGGAATCCCCCTGCCCTCCCGAATCTAATGTAGTTACCATGCCAGGTCATTAGATGGCGCTGTGAATTTTGTACCTTCACCTAATGCGCATACGTGCTGCCTTGGCACGCTCCTTTCCTCTGGGCTAAAAGTTCAGCTAACAACAATTTAATAACAAGTTTAAGGTGGATTTTGGCTGGATTGTGGATAAGAGTCGACAGATTTGACGCCAAGCAGGACTGCTTCGTCTAACAGCTCCACACCGGTCGCTGAGTGGACCAGAACCAAGTCGACGATGTCAGACTTTACTCTGTGATAACCAGTAGCTGATTTACAGCAGGTAAATCAACGTTTTAATAATGTTAGCTTGTGTTTACTTCGATCACAACAACCAACTGAGTTTTTATTTTTCCTGAAAGAAGAAGAAGCTGTCCTTCCACCAGGCGGACCGGTTCTGAACAAGGCTCAGCCCAGGTGCAGTGCAGGAGGACGTCGAAAAGAGAGATGTTGGATGAACTATTTATTTTAAATTCCCCTCATTTCTTTTATTCAAGCCATTCAATGTTTTAAGCTGCATTAACCAAAGGAGTAACAGCCTGAACGAGCCAGCAGAACAATGTGGGACCAGTATATCCAGGATGAAAACAGAGCAGAATCCAGTTCATTAATGAAGTTTACAGTTAACTTGTTTTTAATAGTGTGTTCAGTTTAATTATCAGTGTTTGTGTGACATAAAGTTTGCGGTGTTAAATAAATAAATAACATTAAACCTGATGACTTCATTTTCAACTTTAGTGTTCACGCTATACGTTTAGCTATGTTATATGTTTAAATTTGAATTACATAAATGTCCAGATAGCTTCATTTAGCTCAGAGCTTCAATATATCTCGCACACTTACATAAATACTGTTTATTATTATTAAACTGTTATTATCTAGCACATTTAGTATGTTTTAGTGCAGCGTGACGTGTGCACATGCCACATTCTATAAACCGCGACATTAGAACTGGATCAGACTGTCTCTCTTTCATCACAGATGTTGGTCACAGCACCTGGAATCTGATGTAGATTAACTACGAGATTAAAAATATATTCCATCAGTCGTAGTTCTGAAAGCAGTGTATCCACTGCCATGTTGATAGAAATATAGCGTCTGTCCGCACGTGCGTATGTGGTTTAACACAAAACCTCAGTGGGAGATGTTTACATTATCAGCGGGCGGTCAGCGAAAAACCTTCACTCTGGAAGGTGGGTTCAGAAAACTCCGGATTCAAAGGAGGGGGGCCACTGGCAGAACAGCAGAGAGAAAGGAACGGATCCACTCAAAATACGTGCCGTGTCTAAGAGACAGTTGAGCTGCACGTGTTTGTACAGGCAGTTTAGAGTGGGGGAGACGCAGCCCGCACCAGCAGCCCAGAGTAGGTTGGGGAGAGACAAAAAGACCGAGTGGCAGCTTAGAGTGGGGAGAAGGGAGAGACAGTTGAGTTGTCTGTACCTGCGGTTTAGAGCTGGATGGAGATACAGCTGAGCCGCGCGTTGTTTGTTTTTAGCTTTTTAGCTAGCTAGTATTGCACACAGCTAATTAGCGTCATGCTAGTACCGACAGGTGGAGGGGGTGCGTGCAATTCGGTGTGGTCGTTCGTCGCACTCGGTTCTCTTAACGGGGCGGGGCACCCTGATGTATTATGTCATGAAATTAGCATATCATTTTTTTGCACGGGCAAGCTTTTTTTATCGGTGTTATTGTGAACTATATGATATGGTCCAGCCCTATCTTAGTGTATATTTTAAATCATAAATACTGTTTCTTTTTCTTTTTATACTTTATATTTCTGCAATTTTTGGATGTAACTGGACCCTGAGTACATAATTTCATTCCACCTCATGTACCACATGCGATGTAAATGACAATAAACTAGGGATGTACCGATCCACTTTTTAAATTTCCGATCCGATCCCGATACCTAAGTCTAGATCAGCCAATACGGATCCAGTTCCGATATCATGATCATCATTGATTTTATATAAGGCTGTAATAATCTCCTCTCAAGTACAATTTGTACAAATATATTCATGCATGTCCAAAACGGCAACTTGAGGTAAGTTGTATTAATGTTGGATAAGTTTTAATGTCAGAATTAAATTCTGCTAACACAAAACATGTTTCTTTTTATTCCTAGTTTTAAAGTGGATATTAAAGTGATTAATTTAAGTGATTGTTTAAAGTTATTTTATATTTTTTTAAATAAGGGGCAGATATAAGAATTATTTTTCTTCTTTCTGCACTCTTTTCATTCAATGTTTTATTTTTGATGATTTAAAAAAAATGTTTCTTTTAAATGAATGAATAAATGAATAAAATAAAATAAAATAAAATGATAAATGGCTTCAAACATCTGCTAAGTTCATGGCATAAACCAACAGACATGTTCCTGTTTTTAGTATTTTACATCACTTTATAATGTAGCCGTTTTTGTTTTTAATATAATTTTCAAATCACATGTTTTTTATGATTGTCTACTGTTGTACTGATAAATATCTCCTGGAGGGTAAACTATATCTTGGCTGCAAGTATCAAGCTGTGAAATCCTTCGTTTTCTACAACTGATAGTGGTTGGTCATTAATTATGATGAAGTTTAGCAACTTCTCAGTAAATATTTGAGCTCCGTGGCTTCAGCGATGTCTTCTTCTTGTTCAATCTGAAGCAGGCAGCCTGATTTGGGGCAGCCACACTCAGTCTGTCCCTCCTCAGAGATGGGCAGACTGAGCGGGGCAGATTGGATGCAGCGGGACGGGGTCGAGTTGCCTGTTGTGGGTTGAGCAAGGGCAGTGCCCCGCTGATGTCCATCGTAAAACTAACTTTACCGCGGTTTAATGTGGCGCTATGGCTCTGCAGACATTGCACGATGCTGTCTTGTTTTGTGGTGTTTCTAGTGTAAAATACTTCCACACAGCAGACATGTTTAGATGAAAAGTTTGTCAGCCGTTAGCCACAGTGCTGATAACTCAGTCCTCACGTTGTAGCTGGCTGCAAACTATGAACTGGATTTCCTGAATGTGAGGCGGGGCTTATTACTCTGGGTTCAAGAGACACGCCACCGTTCAGGAAATCCATTCCACAGTTTGAAGCCAACATGCATCATAGATCGGAAATATCGGCAGGTGGATCGTAAAAATCCAATACGTAAATTATGCTGGTATTGGAGGCCGATACCGATACTGGATCGGATCGGCCCCATCCCTACAATAAACTTGACTTGAACTTGAAAATTAATTCCAAATACCAGTAATGCATAAAAAATGGAATTAACAACAATAATAAAATCAACACAAGACCAATAATAAGGAACAAGGATTTGGAAAATACTATTCTGAAGACAATTTACAGTAAGACAAAGCAATATTGAACCATTTCCTGCAGGAGCAATAAAGTTCTAGCTCATTGTTTCTTACCTTAATCGTTCAAGGATTCTTTTATTTAAAACTGAAAGAATTTATTTAGGTTTCAATTTTGCAAGATTTTGGATAAAGTTTGTTCATTTGATAAATAGTTTACTTTGGGATTTGGTTAGAAGAAGTTATGGCCAGATTGAGTTATTTATTAGGGCAGCACGGTGGCACAGTCTATAGAGCTGCTGCCTCTCAGCGAGAAGGTTGCCCCAGAACAAATCCCGGTCCGGGGGCCTTTCTGGGTGGAGTTTGCATGTTCTCTCCATGCATGCGTGGGTTTTCTCCGGGTACTCTGGTTTCCTCCCACAGACCAAAAACATGCATGTTAGACTGATTGGTAACTCTAAATTGTCCCTAGGTCTGAGTGAGAGAGTGAATGGTTGTTTGTCTTGTTTGTCTCCATGTGTCCCTGTGATGGACTGGAGACCAATCCAGGGTGCCCCCCGCTTCTTGCACAGTGACTGGTGGATATGGGCACCAGTGAGCCCTGAAACCCAAAAGGGAAGAAGCGGGTAAAGATAATGGACGGATGGAAGTTGCTCAGCTGAAATGACATAACCAGACCCAAAACTGCATCGCTTTCTCAGCTCCTTACTGTGTTGGTGCTGCGGGCCAGAGTTCACTGACAAGTTGAAGTAAATTACAATTACTGGCCAAGTATTTATTCAAATCCATGATGATGTGTAAAAGAAAAAACAAATAAATAATACCAGTAATATATTACATTTTACTAAATTGTAGGCCCTAAGAAATATTTTTTTATTTCATTATTGGTTTCATGTTGTAACAATATTTTGACTTAAAGTGTCTTATATGGCGGAATAATACAATTTTAATAAATAATTGAGAATAATGTCCCAAATTTTATGAATATGTACAAATTCAAACACAAATACAACAAAAAACAGAGCACGTGATGTTTCAAAATCTGCCTTTAAATCGTTTAGAAATTAAAAACCTTCCAGTCTTTTTGTAAAATAATGTTCCCTTCAGGACTTTAAATTCCTCCTGGGTTTTGTCTTTATTACAGTATATATGCTGTAGAGTAAAACTATTATACTGTTTTTGTGTTGTACTGACTCACTGATGAAGATGATCATACCTGCAAACGCAGAAGGGATGAAAAAGGTGACAAACCTAGCACCTTGCTGTAAGCCAACATGCAACACAGATGTGTGTCCCCCTCCCCCCCCCCCCCCGCCAACAACCCCCCCCCCCCCAAGAGATAAGTACCTGCTAAGCTAAATGGCCTAGGAGGAACACTGTTTCTTAAAGGAAAATTAAACTATCAACCACGTCTGACCTCCCCAACCCGAAAACAAAAACTCTTTGGATCTAGACAATTCACGTAAATGACATATTTTAGTTTGAAATCAGTGAATTTCGTCGAAAAGCAACTAGTTTGCAGGTATGAGATGCTGCTGATCCAGCCATCACCTTTTTTATCCACTAAAGGTTTCTCTGCTTCAACATGGAGTTAACAGACTTCACGTTTATCAGGAGGAGCTTTATCATTTTTTAAAGAAAAAAAAAAAGAATATATACAATTATAAACTTTCTTTTTAGTTCAAAAGTTTTGATGACTTTGCTTGTGAAAACTCCTGATGCACTTTCACGTGGAAACATTTGCTAAAGTGAGGCAGAAACACAATTCTGCTCTGCCTTGATCTGACCAACGCTTCGCTCAACAGTCCATATTTCCATGTGCGTTCTTCTTCAGGCATTTATCATCAAAACTTAATAAAGTCGTTCCTTCAAACTATAAAACTTTAAACTTCTCTGCAGAGACTCTGCTGCACTTTTCATACCAAGAAAGAGCATACTTGCAAAGTAAAACATGGAAATATATACTGCCTGGCTAAAAAAAAAGTTGCCACCTGGATTTAACTAAGCGAATAGGTACGAGCGTCCTACTGGATAATCACTGCATGGGCGATTATCTTTCAGCTGGCAACAAGTTATTTAACCCCAACTGGTGCAATGAGTTGCTTCTCATTTCTTAAACAACCATGTTTAAAGACGCATCGCGTGGTCGTGGAAAAGATGTCAGTCTGTTTGAGAAGGGAAAAATCATTGGCATGCATCAAGCAGAGAAAACATCTAAGGAGATTGTAGAAACTACTAAAATTGGGTTAAGAACTGTCCAACACATTATTAAAAACTGGAAGGAAAGTGGGGACCCATCGGCTTCTAGGAAGAAATGTGGCTGGAAAAACATCCTGAATGATCGTGATCGGCGATCACTTAAATGTTTGGTGAAATCAAATGGAAGAAAAACAACAGTAGCACTCAGGGTCATGTTTTAATAGTGAAAGTAAGAGCATTTCCACAAGCACAATGTGAAGGGAACTCAAGGGATTGGGACTGAACAGCTGTGTAGCCTTAAGAAAACCACTAATCGGTGAGGCTAACTGGGAAAAAAAGGCTTCAATTTGGTAGGGAGCATAAAGATTGGACTCTGGAGCAATGGAAGAAGGTCATGTGGTCTGATGAGTCCAGATTTACCCTGTTCCAGAGTGATGGGCGCATCAGCGTAAGAGGAGAGGCTGGTGAAGTGATGCACACATCATGCCTAGTGCCTAGTCATCAATGCAAGATCTTGGTGAAAAATTAATGCAACACTGGATAGAAATAGATGTTGTGACATTGCAGAAGCTTATTGAAACAATGCCACAATGAATACATGCCGTAATCAAACCTAAAGGCGGTCCAACGAAATATTAGCGTGGGACCTTATTTTTTTTGTGATTACATTTTTTTTTGGCCAGGCAGTGTATATTGAATAAATATTGTTGTTTTTTTGTGTAAATTATCCTGTTTGTAATCGTTTAAGATCAAAATTAAAAATGTGATTGATTGTGCAGCCTAGTGCAACCTCTGAAGTAATGTGCTAATTAGAGCCAAACTACTTTCTGCAGTTGCTTTACGTTTTAGGGGCGATACAGTCTCTTTGACTTGTAGGCAACCTCTTCAGCAGTTTCCATTTGATCCACTCACCAGCCCAGGAAAACATAATGTACAAAAGGATTTTAGTGTTTTACACACAGCTCACCTTTTACACAACTATTAACTTAGTTTATACCATGAAGGGTCAAACCTGAAAAACAACAACATAAAAGCACTTCTACTGTGTACATACCTGGCCATAAGTCACCATGGAAAGATTGGTTTGGAGACCATTCGAGGCTCTATTTACAGCATGATGAGACAGTCCGTTCTGATCTCGCTGAATCGGCTCTTGTGATGGTTCCCATGCTTCGTCGGGGTCTTGGAAGCCGTTGTCTGTGGCATCATGCTTATTCTTCTGTGGTGAAGCAAAGGGGTTAAAGTCTTCCTGTACACTGCGCTGGGGTTGCGTGTTGAATTCTGTCTCGAAGGAAGAAAGCTGCTGTGTGACGCCGAGGAGGCCTCCGACTTCTACACTGAGAATCACCCAGATTACATCTGTGGAAAAATAAAGCACAAACGAGCATGACACAGTTATAGTTAATGGAAACAAACCCAAAGAGTAGGTTTGTTTTGGCTAATTAGGCAAAAAAATCAGAGAATCTTTTACTCCTCCTACCTCCGTAGAATAATCCTGAGGCTGTACACATCCTCCACTGACCCTGATACATGCCTGGATTTGTGGGACTTCGCATCTGCACACTCACATCTGAGATTTCCTGCGGATCTAATGACTTCACCAAAACCGCATTTACATGCCCAAACTGATCCCCACCGATGTACTTAAGACAAACCCCCGGTGGCCATGACTCTGCACCTACACCAAACATTTCAAAACACAGTCAAAACAAAGTTAGTGAATAAAACGTGACTGTGATATAACCATTATGAAAGGCTATTTTATTTAGGTGTTTATGTTAAGCTAATGGCACGTACCTGTGTTTTGTATTCTCCAGGTTTTTGTGAACAACGTATCTGGAGGGATCGACTCTCCTTCCCCAATTGTAACATCTTCTACAAAGGACATGGATGGTGTGTTGACGCTGGGGCTTTCAAAGTCATAATATGCACCAATAGCAGCTTGTAGGTTCCTGTTCCATCAAAAAACAAACAAAAGCTGTAATCAAGAGTCAACAATATTCAATAAACACTAGCCATGAATCTTGTCTAATGTTGCAACACGGGCAAACACCTAAAGGTTGGTCATTTAAAACTTTTGGAAGAACTCTGCTATTATAATGGTCCAAAAAACAAATAAATAAATGATAACTACTTGGCAAGTCAGGAGTCTATAACTTCTGCTTCATTTGATAAAAAATATTACCTTGTTTTAACCATATAAAGAGTCCATAATGTTGTTTTTCTTTCTGCATTTGATTTTGTAGCAAGCTGACTATCTAGTTGACTTGAGAAGGGACTATAACAAAGTCCACCAGAATATTGATTTCATTCACATTACCTACTGATGCTCTGTTACAGTTTGTTAGTGTAGTCCTGTACTATAAGCTACAAAAATGGCTTTGATAATCCAGTAAAGTCATATCACTGATTCACTGGTCACAAACCACGAGGTATTTTTAATTTGCTGATCGGAGCATCTTATCAACATCCTTAGACTAAGAGTTTTCAAACAAGTCATGTTGCTACAGTCAGAAATGATCACTGTCTGATTTTCAGTTATGATTTCAAACTTTAAAGAGACATGTTTTATGATTTTTAAGTATAATTGTACTGCATAAGTCTTTAAACCACACATCTCCTGAAGGACTACAATCAGGTAATTAATCTAGGTAACTAATGCAAAACATCTTGATCAAGATTACTCATACTCGTTTTCGGGTCTTGGTAGATCACAACTGGTTATGCCATTCAGCTAAGGTGAGGGTAAATGACAGGCCATTGTATCACATAACTTCATCCCTCTCTAATTCATTTTTCAGATATCAACGATAATATTCCTCCTAATTCAAATGTTATTTAATAGCTAGAAATTCAAACTGAACACATCTGATATAACATTTCTACTGGAATAAAATATATTTCTCCACATTTGAGAATGTGTTAGGAAAACAAGACTTTTTTTTACTGATTGTTTTAACCTTTACCAACTAGACTGGATGTGCAGGGCAGATATTTATAATTCAGTGATTCATAGTCAAAAAATTAGTTGGAGGTTATAATTTATTTCTGGTGCATCACAATGTTCACATGAACAATTTTGAATTGACTTCATAATGTAAAAAAATATATATTAATCAAACATTCATAATGTCACAAAGGTGGGGCTTTAAACTGTGGCGGTTCAGTGCATGGACAGTTTATGGTGCACATACAACAGAGGGCAATAATGAAATGGCTGACTGAGATATACTGCATACACTGTCTGCACTGAAAGCCAGTGTTTTAAATTAATTTGGGTATTTAGGTAAGGGGGAAAAATGACATTGAAGAGAGCCACACTATATGCAAGTTGTGTACATTTCCACCTGAAAGAGGAAACACACTCCGTGAGAGCTGCCACTAACATCAGGACCACTGAGGGAGCAGCATCAACTTGTAGGCGAAGCCAATCACAAAGTCCATTTCAAATTGTACTGCGTCGAATGTGCATCTGCATTCACTTGTTTAAGACCAAGGCTTTAGCCCTATACTTTGCACTTTGACACAAAATTCAACCACCTGAAAACATTAAAGAAAGCAAGTCGAATCGTTCTAACATGTGAAGCATGGACAATCACATACACTTAAATCAATGAATGAAAACAAAGGTAATTGTGATGTTTCTCATCTGAATATGCTGGCTGTGAATTTGACACATGACATTCTGCATAGGTGACTTTAAATTTAATTTTGACAACAAATAATTTACTTCTGTTTTAATGCGCCTGAATAAATATGGTATACTGGCTTGCCATACACACAGGCGCTACTGAGAGTTAGTCTGAGGAGCTCACCTTAACTAGCTTGTTTAACAGTTATGTAATGTTGCAATAGAACAATCTAAACGTAAAGGTTCATAATATACTTTACTTGCCTTTTAGCTTCCGAATCAATTTGTTTCATATTTTGCGAGCTTTACTTAACGTAAATCGTAGACAGAACAAACTTTACGTTAGCCCTAAATTCAGTTAACAACCGTTTACCGTAATGGTCCGATAAAACGATCTATTTTAATATTATTTTAACGCCGTATATGACTACCGCCAATTTTATTTTTTTTTCCATTGTAACATGCTTTCTAGCCACCGCAGAGCTACCGGGTTAGCGTCATGTTGCTGGTCAAAAACAGGCCCTCCCGGAATCCGCGGCCTCACCAGTTGGTCATGTCCAGGAAGAAGGCGCAGCCGGCGGGGTTCAGCTGGAAGCCCAGCAGCCTCTGGAACTCCGATATGAGCACGTCCTTGTCCGTGGTACCCATGCAGCTGAACTTCTGCATGAGCTCCGCATCCACGTCCATGTCCGTGCCCTCCATGGGTGGCGGGTGTCCCGTGGCGGAGACGGGATGGTGCGGGAATCCTCGCTCAGTTGACTCGGAGGCCTCGTCCAGCCATAACAACCAACTCAACAACAACAACAACAGCCAGTGCGCATGGCACGAGCGCGAGTGGGGTGGGGGGGGAGACGAGATTTGACGTCGCAACGACGGTGCGTCACCTTCGACGTCATCTGTTGCTATTTGTAGCCTCCTTTTCATTGGTTTGTCAATGAAATTCACGTCTTCCTATTCTCAGCTCAGCACTACCAAAGAAAAATGAGATTTTTCAGTGACTACGTCGATCATGCCACCCATTTTAGAACCGACATTCAATTTGTACTGTTCAAAATTATTACTTTATACAACAAAAGTCTATAAAAATTATTCTTCAAAGGTTTAAATCTTCTTAAATGCCGCATTTGCACGTTATTTAACTCTAACATGTAAGCCACTAATCAAAAATATTAAGTTTTTCTTCAACAAATATGTTGAGTTTAGATACAATGCCAGCTGATCTGTATTTCTTTCAACTTTAGGCTTGTTATTGGGATAGCAGCTTATCATTTTGGTACCTCTGCTGTTTTTATTTTTTTTTATTTTAGAGCTATGGTAAACGTGACATTTGCATAAATGCTAAGTTTGGATGACAAAAAATACATGTTTTTATATGATCCTGATGCATGCTCAATAATCCAGGTAGAAAAATCCAAAAACGTTCAATCTGGTCCTCTGGACATTCAAAAAAAAAAAAAAAAAAAAAAAACAAAGCAAGAAAATATAGAAACGTTTCATCTCTCATCCGAGAGACTTCCTCAGTCTGAGGTGCTGTATTCAGCTCAGTCTCTTAAATAGCACCTTCTCAGAGTGGATCAACCAGTTTGCTGCTGACAACCAAAACCAGCTGCTCACATGGTCAAGAAGGACCATCAGCCTAACACTGGATCATTAGCACACTGATGGCTGTTTACTATTCACAGGGGGTTGAGTGATACTAGCAATAACAGCAGTGTAAGAGGGGAACAGTTGAACCTAATGTAGGAAATAGCACCTGAGAAGGTGCTATTTAAGAGACTGAGCTGAACACAGCACCTCAGACTGAGGAAGTCTCTCGGATGAGAGATGAAACGTTTATATATTTTTTTGCTTTGTTTTTTTGAATGTCCAGAGGACCAGATTTAACTTTTTTGGATTTTTCTACCTGGATTATTGAGCATGCATCAGGATATTTTGAACCACTTTGGCCAGGATTGCCTCAAACTAGTAAGAGAGTTTGAGAAAACAGCAAGGAAGAGGGCAGACTACAGGAATCACTTGCGATTCAACCTCAGATGTCGACAAAGTGGCATCATTCCCAAGAGCCTGGAACTAAAATCATCAGTCAGCAGGCACCGGGCAAGCAAGAACCTTCAGAAGGCACAGACCCAGCTGCTGAATGAACAGGTGAGACAGACCAATTTTACTATTGAGGCCTTGAAGGCCAAAGAAGCGCACATTAAACAGAAACTAACTATGTGTCTAGATCAGACCACACTTCAGCAAGTGTTGGACTGTACAGATCAGGCACGCTTAGCACAGCATGTCAAGTCCAAGACTCGATAACAAAACAAGTTTAACTTACTAATAACTCATCAACACCATCACTATTCCAATAACAACACATTCAGTGTAGGACAACACTCCAGTAGTCAATTACATGCCAGGGAGACAGAAAAGTGGGTGAAGAATTTATCTGACAGACAGCTCACCCAGCCGGAGACAGAGATTCTTGCCAGGGGACTGAACTTTGCGGTTGCACCAAGTAGAATTCCTCTGGTGGAGATGATCACAGCCACAGAATCAGCCATCCGCAACAACAAAATTAAAGAGGCTGAAGCAGAACAGCTCAGAATCAAAGTTTCAGCCTGCCTCAGCAATGCCAAACCACCACCTTCCAACATCAGTAGAGAGGAGAGGGATGCACTCACCACTCTTAGCAAGGACAAAAACATCATCATTCTCCCAGCAGACAAAGGAAGGTGCACAGTGATTTTGAACCAGAAAGACTATCATGAGAAAGTTATGACACTCCTTAGTGACTTAACCACTTATGAACCTCTGAAAAGAGATCCAGGAAGTGGTTACAAGAAAAAGTTAATAGATTGCCTGAAAATTTTGGAGCAGGACAAGGCTATTGACCGTTTTCTGTACCACAGACTGTACCCAGGGGAGGCCACACCTAGTCTGTATGGTTTACCTAAAATCCACAAACAAGGTGTACCTTTAAGACCAATTGTTAGTATGATTAACTCTGTCACTTACAATGTTTCCAAATATCTGGTGTCTGTACTCATCCCTTTAGTTGGCAGCTCAGAACACCACATACAGAACACCATGGACTTTGTGGACAAGGTGAGGGATGTCATCATGGAGACTGATGAAACAATGGTCTCTTTTGATGTCACATCACTTTTTACGTGCATTCCTGTTGATGATGCAGTAGAGGTGGTCAGTTTAAAATTAAATTCAGACACCACTCTGAGCAGCAGGACCACACTTTCTACAAAACAACTGTGTCAACTCTTGAAACTGTGCCTGCAGTCAACCTACTTCACATATGGGGAGCAATATTATAGGCAGAAACATGGGTGTGCTATGGGGTCTCCAGTTTCTCCTATTGTTGCCAACCTGTACATGGAGGAGGTAGAAAAGAGAGCCTTGACGTCCTTTTCAGGGACACCACCAAGCCATTGGTTCAGGTATGTTGACGACACCTGGGTTAAAATCAAATCTCAGGAAGTCCAACATTTTACTGACCACATCAACTCTGTGGATAAATACATCAAGTTCACACGAGAAGATGTAAAAAATGGCAGGTTGTCTTCCTTGGACTGTGAGGTCTCAGTTTCTGATAAAGGACATTTGCAAACCGAGGTGTACCGCAAACCCACACAGATCAGTATTTGCAGTTTGACTCCCATCACCCTTTGGAGCACAAGTTAGGAGTCTTCAGGACTCTGTATCACAGAGCAGACAGCGTCCCCACTAACTCAGGAGCCAGGCAGAAGGAGAAATCCTACACGAGACAGGCTCTAGAGCAATGTGGATATCCTAACTGGGCCTTCCTGAAAGCAGAGAAGAAACCCAAACAGGACTCCAGTCAGCCATCAGGTGAAAAGGAGGAACCCAGACCCAGACCAGTGGTCATTCCGTATGTTGAATGAGTATCAGAGAAACTGAGACGTTTATTTTCTAAACATAACGTCCCAGTGGCTTTTAAACCCCAAAATAAATTACGGCAAAGACTGGTTCATCCCAAAGATCCAGTCCTCAAGCACAAACAGAGTAATACTGTGTATGCTGTTCAATGTCAGGAGGGCTGTGATCAGTCTTACATCGGGGAAACTAAACTGCCACTGGCCAAAAGGATGGCCCAGCACAGAAGATCAACAACATCAGGCCAGGATTCTGCGGTCTACACTCATCTCCAGGCCAGCGGTCACTCTTTCAAGGATGAAGATGCTCACATCCTGGACAGAGAGGAACGATGGTTTGAGAGAGGAGTAAAGGAGGCCATCTTTGTGAAAATAAATCGTCCATCATTAAACAGGGTGGAGGCCTCCGGGTTCAACTGCCCCCCTCTTACAATGCTGTTATTGCTAGTATCACTCAACCCCCTGTGAATAGTAAACAGCCATCAGTGTGCTAATGATCCATTGTAAGGCTGATGGTCCTTCTTGACCATGTGAGCAGCTGGTTTTTTGTTGTCAGCAGCAAACAGGTTGATCCACTCTGAGAAGTTGCTATTTAAGAGACTGAGCTGAATACAGCACCTCAGACTGAGGAAGTCTTTCGGATGAAAGACGAAACATATCTACATTTTTTTTTTTTTTTTTTTTTAATGTCCAGAGGACCAGATTGAACGTTTTTAGATTTTTCTACCTGGATTATTGAGCATGCATCAGGGTATAATAAACAGCATCCCGAATATTAGTTTGTAGTGAGTAGATGGGTATGAATGAATACAGCATCATGAGATATTCAGCAGCATGAGATTAGCAGTATGGATAATCAGCAGCACAGATAAGTCACATATCACCAATTAAAGTGTAATTTTTCTTTCTTTTTTTTCTGTTTATGGGCATTTGCGCATTTATTATATACTTTTTTTTCTAGATGTACATCATGTGCCATGTATTTTAGGGATAACCTAGAAGCAGCATAAAAAAAAAATTATAGAAAAAAGTACCGCGCTATTTGGAGGAACCATTTTTACTCGGAACTTCTTGTAGTTTGTCCCCATATCTAGTCGGATTCAGTTAAAGGAAGCACACTGATCGCGTTGCTTGCGGAGGTTCTCTTGAAACATGCCTAAGTAAGTTCATTTATACTTAATTTTTACATTCATTGATTTTTATTTTTATATATAAGTTCAGTTGGTTACTAATTATCCTCACATTCATTGTGAAATGAATGGTTTTAGGATAAGAGTGGAAATATGTTAGCTTACCTTGACGCGGCTTTGTTTGGGATACGTCTACTTGCTGAAAACCAACAACCGGCATATATGGCCACTACAAAATAATGATCTGAAGTCCTTTTTTCCCCACCCGGAATTCAGTCGTTTAGGCAAAGGGGACGACATTTTTTAGCTTTTAAAATAAAAAGCTCTTTTTAAATCGGTTTACTCGTTAGATCATATGCATGGAATGGAAAACGTGTGGTGGTGGTTAACTCACATCAAAATATGTTTTTATAATGTATATATTTTAGCTTCAGAGTCAAGGCATTGAAAAAAAAAATTAACAAACGAAACGCAAGCCATTACGAGCACAGGCAAATGGAAAAGGAAAAATATCCATTATTGGACAACTGCTTTGGTGCTTGCCTCTTCAGTCAGTTTTGTGTCAAAAGTGAGTTTTTGTTGTAGAACAAATATACAACATGGTGCCTTGCAAGTACAGATCTTTATTAAAACATGTTTTTCCTGACAGTCATTCATATTTTTTACATTAAATTTTGTACAAGGATCTTTACCTCAAAGAACAAACAACTCAATGTTTTGTCCCTGTCATCAGTACATTATTTCATTGTCATTTCACTTTCCCAGTCAACTGGGTTTGAGGCATCAGGTGTGTGTCCAAATTTGAGTTTGAATATTGGCTAAATATGTCAGTTTTGTAGCATTTTATATTTTAATAATATTAAATACTAAGTTGGCGTGGTGGTGCAGAGGTTAGAGAAGGTGGGCCTGTGATCGGAAGATCGCTGGTTCAACTCCCCATACCAACATCATCAAAATGTGGGTGGGATAGGTGAAGCACCCAGACCTGCCTCCACCCTCATTTGCCCTACTCTGGGCCCTTGAGCAAGGCCCTTAACCCCCACCATCGGCTCCCCCGGGTGCCCTAGAAAGCAGCTCTCTGCTTCACACAGAGGGCTGTGGTAGCTTGGTGGTCTCTGGTTGCATCAGGAAAGGCATCCGGCGTAAAAACAATTGCTGAGTCTTTGTGCGACTTGAGTTCGCTGTGGTGACCCCTGAAGAAGGGAACAGCCAAAAGAAGGAAAAAAAAAAAACCTGATTGTGAGTGGTTTGTGTCTTGCAGCTCTATCTTTATTAACCTCAAGTCTAATGTGTTTCCTTTTTTATTTCCCAGGTTTTACTGTGACTATTGTGATACCTACCTTACACATGATTCGGTAAGTCAAATGTTTTGTGGAATTAATTTGGTTGTGTGACCTACTTATTAGTAGTCAGAAGAATCTTACTCATAGTAGATACCAGTCAGAATAATACATTTGAAGAAGCAAACATGATTAGTCAAATAAAATAAGCTAATGTCTGCTCAGAACAAGGTTTCCCACTCCCCCCACACACTCTGCATCCAATCAACACCTAAATTCTAACATCAGATGTTCATGTATGTTAAAAACAAGTCCCACCATGTGACACAATAATGTCATGTTTTAAAATGGCACCAAGACAGCACATCATATAAATCATTAGCTGAACCAGCTTGAAATGTTTTTAAGTTTGAGTTGCTGAGTTTGTTCTTCTGATGGCTCGGTGATGAACATCTGTTAGCTTGTTTACCAAAAAAAATCATCCCCAGTTCTTTAAACAGAGTGACCTGACTACCTCCAGCCAGACACTGATTATTCAAAGGTACTACAAATAAACTAATTTATCCCTTTGTGATAAACGTTTTTTTTTTTTTTTTTTGTCTGCCTTAGCCTTCAGTAAGGAAGACTCACTGCAGCGGTCGAAAACACAAAGAAAATGTGAAAGATTACTATCAGAAATGGATGGAGGAGCAAGCGCAGAGCTTGATTGATAAAACAAGTAAGTATTTAGTTTTCATAAATTCTGATCAGGTTATCAACTCAACATTTTCTTCAGTTTATTCAGATTGATTTAAAAAAGTTACAACATATTTGACAAAAATGGATTCAAGCTACATTTGGAAATGATTTGTAAAATGATTCTAGTTTAAAAAAAAAAGACTTTTTTTTTCTTCATGTCTCTAAAGTGCACAAGAGGTTGTTCATGCCATTAGTCATCTTGTCTTTTCAAAGAAACTATTTTCATTAACCCTAGTTTGTATTAGGTTTTTGTGCAAGAAAGGGAAAAAAAATATATATATTTTTTTTTTTACTTAATCTTTATTTATACAGGGAGTCATTTTTGTATTGAACGTTTTTTGAATTAGTCTCACTGAGTCACGAGGACTCATTTTCAAGAGACCTGTTTTAGACAGACAACATATAGAGTACAGACAACAATATACAACAGTAAAAAACAATTAAAATGAAAAATAATTTTATAAAAACACTGTTACTGTTGGCAGCATGGTCCTGTTAGCAGTGTAGTGATGTCGGGACAGCTTGGCTGTGGACACACTACTAATTAATTATTCTTAAAGCTAGTTCAAGCACAAAGAATATTAATTGTTTAATTAACAACGGATTCTTTCTTTTTCGAGTTAAATTTCTTCCATGTGACCAAGATAACTTGAGAGTGGAGTGTATAATTAGTGACATGAGACGTAATTTATCTTTGACCCATCAGAATAAATACGGTCATTTATTTAACAGAATCAAAATTTTACATCAAACATGTACACATTGATTTGCTGATCTGATTCTGATTAATAAACTTAGCAAGTTCAAATAACAAGACAACAGAAGATTACTGATGGAGAATAATTCATCTCTGAAGGCACTTAGCTTGATTTACTGGCAAGAGGTTTACAGAGAAGGAGTAAAGAAGTTTTAGATTTAAAGAGGAGAATTTAGATGGATGAAGGAAGATGTGTTGAGCAGAAATGGCACCCTTCCTCCGACCCCAGCTCAACCCTCGGTACACTCAGCGTGTGACGACTTGTTACCTTAGCAGAAGATAAATCAGCTCTGGTACAGAGGTCCATTTCTCGCTTCTTTCAGCGTCTCCGGTCAGAGTGGCTGGAAATCGTCAGAAGTTGTGACGAAGTACTCCGTTCAACAGAATAAGCTTCCTTAGAAGGAATCTTCATTAGAAGTTGTAGGGCGTTACGCCCGGGTGAGTTCACAGCCAGGCGTGCTGTGACTCCGCTGAAATGGACGGACCCTTGGCACATGGTCCCATTCCATCAGCTCGCCGTAAGACTGAGTCTTCCAGTAAGACTCCTAAGACTTAAAGTTCCAGGAAGACTGAATAGTTCCAAGAAGTGTTGATTTTTAAAGGGTATCCACTTCCTGTTATTTGGTACTTCCTGATTGGTTAACACAACCAGCAGGGGCGGTGTTTTAGTGATGTCAGAGGGTTATTAGGAGTCAACAGACAGCAGAAATGTTTTTAAGAACGGTTAGTACAGACAGGAAAATATTTTGAAGAAATGACAGACTTTGCAGGTGCCAGTTTCTTATTTACTGTCTGAGAGTTTTAAAAACAAGGCACTTCGTTCTCATAACTTATCTGACTTTTGACCGACCTCAAATCCACTCCTCATTCAGACATAAGATTAAAATGCACACTTACTTCGTAAATAGACATTTAACTTGTATGATCTAAGTCTAATGAGGTTTAAAAATCATTAATACTGTTTCACAGTTGATTTAAATGAGTGGTTTACTTCAACATTAGAAATGGTATGAACTAAACACACTTTTGATTATCAAGATATTGTAAAATAGTAATGATAATTTAAAAAAGAAGAGTGTTCTTTCAATTGATTAATTCAGGATACAATTAAATAGTCTCTTGATGAGATAATTTGTATTTCTGGATTCAAATCAATGAAATAACAGTTCCTGTCCCCTGAAGGTCTTCAGAGACAGATTGATGTTGGAGGTCTAGTTCACTACAGCAGTGTGGAGTGTGGTACTGTTAGCAGCGTGGTACTGTTAGCATCATGGTGCTGTTAGTTAAGTGGTTCTGACTAACAAGTAACGTTAAAGCTGAGTATGTTTTTGTGCATGTTTGATATACGTTTTGTCTTTACTTGGGCACAACTTAACGATCAACATTAAAAAATCTGGACACAATCCTCTTTAAATCTATGGTTGAACAACTCGGCAGAGATCATGTAAAAACGATCTGAAGTTGGGCACTAAAAGCAACCGTCTGCTGCTTTAGGTGCGAGGCTTTGCTCATGCTAGATTGAATCTACATCTAAGACACTGTATAACAGCTGTTGCTATAAGAGAAACAACTCTCCATCTCTCCCAAATAATTATTTTAAACATTGTTTTAATTTAAGGCACCAGACTGCAGCTGTTTAGGCTTTATTCACATTTGCTGTGAAATGCATCTTGAAGTTTTATTGATCCCAAAATAAAATTCAAAAGATCTATAAGCATTGTAATCTTAATAATAGTGATGGGCAAATGATACCGAGGCTTCAGAGCTTAGGTCACTCTTCCTGAAGCAGAGTGATTCATAACACTGTGTCGGAGCTTGTATCAAAACGCCACACTCTATTTAAGAATCATCATTGTTCCTAAAAATGTTGAGCTGTGAGGAGATAATTTTTGAAAAGTTAATTAAGTGTAGTTTGGCAATTTTTAGTCAACAGCTTTCAAAAGTTTGGATGGAATCTATTTGATCTTATTCCACCAAATAAAGTATTGTGTTCCCTAGGACCTACAATTCATGTGTTAATAATTGAATTATGTTTTTCTCTTTTAAAGGGATCTTAAAATTACAAATATTTGTAGATGTTTGCATCTGTAATGCAGACATAATCATTATTTTGTGCAAATAAACAAAACATACGCTTGACCAGTCTTTTCTAAACTTTATTTGCTGACAGGACTAAAACAGAGTCAGCGCTTCAGTTGAACCCACGAGCTTCTTATGGCTTCAGTTGTCCACCAGATGTCTCCATCACTGAAGCTTTGAATTTATTTTTTGGCACAATTGTAAGAAAAGCCTCGGTGCTTCATGAGGCTTCACACGCATCACTACTTAAAAAAACTCTATCTCTTTATATAAACATATTAAACTCATTAATTAAGCTAAAGTTCCTGCATGATGGATTCAAATCTCTTCACTAACACCAAATTCAGCTAAGATGAATTTGTTTAGCAGGTTAATTAATATAAATTGATTACAGCTGCTGTCCAATTTGCAATTTTGCAACAGGAATATGAGAGTAATTTTGTAAATATATATTTTTGGTTTTATATTTGATGTTTTTAAGTTTTATTTACCTAAATTGTCAGGACTGTTTTCTTGAAATTGTCAGTTTACCAGCTGTCTCTTCTTGTTTTCTATAGTACAGCTAGCTGAGAGTGGCACTGATGAGTCAAGTATTTAACAAATAAATGAACATTTTTCTTTTACTATTTATCAGTAATCAAACATTTTATTTATCTTAAAAAAAAATGCCAAACTGCTCTTTGTATTTCAAAAGTTAAATTATAGTATAATTACTGAAATTTTAACACTATCTGTAGGTTTGAAACCACTAAAATACTTTTATAATATATGGCTTTTTATTTTGTAGAATTTTATTTTGTTCGTTTATTTTCGACCATAGTGTTCCACCTACAGGGGAATCACGCTTTTAAGCCTCCCTGGTAAGGTCTATTCGGGGGTTCTGGAGAGGATGGTCCGTCGGATAGTCGAACCTCGGATTCAGGAGGAGCAGTGCGGTTTTCATCCTGGCCGTGGAACACTGGACCAGCTCTATGCTCTCAGCAGGGTCCTGGAGGGTGCGTGGGAGTTTGCCCAACCGGTCTACATGTGCTTTGTGGACTTGGAGAAGGCGTTCGACCGCGTCCCTCGGGGAACCCTGTGGGGGATACTCTGGGAGTATGGGGTACCTGGCCCTTTGATACGGGCTGTTGGGTCCCTGTATGACCGGTGTCAGAGCCTGGTCTGCATCGCCGGCAGTAAGTCGGGCTTGTTCCCAGTGAGAGTTGGACTCCGCCAAGGTTGCCCTTTGTCACCGATTCTGTTCATAACTTTTATGGACAGAATTTCTAGGCGCAGCCAAGGTGTTGAGGGGATCCGTTTTGGTGGCCTTAGGATTGCGTCTCTGCTTTTTGCAGATGATGTGGTCCTTTTGGCTTCATCAGATCGTGATCTACAGCTTTCGCAGGAGCGGTTCGCAGCCGAATGCGACGCGGCTGGGATGAAGATCAGTTCCTCCAAATCCGAGGCCATGGTCTTGAGCCGGAAAAGGGTAGAGTGCCCTCTCTGGGCCAGGGAGGAGGTCCTACCCTCATCTATGGTCACGAGCTTTGGGTTGTGACCGAAAGAATGAGATCTTGGATACAAGCGGCCGAAATGAGTTTTCTCCGCAGGGTGTCTGGGCTCTCCCTTAGAGATATGGTGAGAAGCTCGATCATCCGGGAGGGACTCAGAGTAGAGCCGCTGCTTCTTCACGTCGAGAGGAGCCAGTTGAGGTGGCTTGGGCATCTGTTTATGATGCCTCCTGGACGCCTCCCTGGTGAGGTGTTCCGGACATGTCCCACCGGAAGGAGGCCCAGAGGAAGACCCAGGACACGCTGGAGGGACTATGTTTCTCGGCTGGCCTGGGAATGCCTCCGGATTTCCCTGGAGGAGCTGGACCAAGTGGCTGGGGAGAGGGAAGTCTGGGCCTCCCTACTTAGGCTGCTACCCCGCGACCTGACACCATATAAGCGGAAGAAAATGGATGGATGGCTTTTTATTTCTTTAAAATATTTGTATTTTTACAAAGTTTTTTTTAACCCCTGTGCAGTCCCTGCACAGAGATTAAAACTGATGGCCACTTGACAGGGGGCTGAGTGATACTAGCAATGGTAAGATGTGAAGGATCAGCCATTGGGCGTGCCGGTCCAACCCACTGACATTGATTGACAGCTGAAATCATTCTGCTGAAAAGTTGCATTATGAAATAAATAAGCCATTATGAAAAACCCAATTATGAAATAAATAAGCATTTTTTTAAATTTCATATTGTTTAATTTATTTAATTTTGAGCATCTTGGTGTTCCATTGTTGGAATGGAAAAGTGTTGCAGTGAAATAAGCTGAGGTTCGTTGTCTCCTCTCTGTGTTCAGATGTGATCTTAACTGAGATACTGTACTGGTATTTAAACACGTATTTACTGTACACATAAAGATTCACACAGAACGAATTGTAAAACTTTTATTAAAATATGTACCAGACTTTGCTTTAAAAATAAATTTTGACGACTTCTGCTCAGCGGAGCCCACGTTGTGACCCAGCAGGAGCGGAACAGCTGGTACATGTTTCTTTCTGAAAAATGCCTTTAACACCGCTAAAAAGTATAAAAAGTACCAGTAGCTGACCAAAAGTCACTCATTGCCATGTTCTTCATCGTCCTGTACACTAAAGTCCTCTTCGAGGTTCGGAAAAACATCATCACACACCACCTCCTTCTCCCTCTCGGCAGCTGTTTCCTTCTTCGACAGCCAGATTGATCACTTTAAACTTCAAAACTGCATCATAAGAAATTCTCCGTGCGCTTTCCATTATCGCTGCAGATGAACAGGCACATGAGGCACAAAATACGGAAACAAGAAATTAATGCACGCCTATTTTGGTTGGGGGATGGGTCTTCGAGAGAACAGTACCTCATTGGTCATTACGGTTAGCCTTCTGGTCACATGATGACAGAGTGCGTGGTGTTAAAGTAAGAAAATTGAAACCCTGAGCAAGAGGCTTGGTACATCTGATTACCTGAGGCATTCACTCTGTGTGTTACAAAAGCCCGACCCCGAGAGGAGTATCCTGGGCAGCTAGATGAGCGCCCAGCTCTGTCAAAGGAGAATGTTAGTCAGCGGCAGAAAGTCTGTCAAAATAAAATGTAAAAATATAAATTATTAAAATTATGAAAAATATACACAAATTAGCCGCTCCAGTGTATAAGCCTTGTAGTCTAAAGTGTGAGAAAAAAGTAGCGGCTTGTACACTGGCAATTATGGTAGAATTTGAGCTTTTCTAAATCTTGTTTCTAAAGATCCAGAAACATATTTGTGTGAAGTGTAAAAGCCTGATGTGAGCAGTGAAACTGTCTTTCAGAGCTCGGGAGTTGCAGATCAACTTAAATCTGAAACTGAGCTCCAGTGGCAGTATCGTACTGATGATTTATTTAGTTGTGTGGTCAACCGTTCACTTACGCTAATGTGAGCACTGCATGCAATTTCTTTTCCATTTTTAGCAGCGTGGTTGGATGTGGACAATAAAAGGCTGTTACACACCCCACTCATGACATGCTTGTGCATGTGTTTGAGATAGTCGGTCTCGTTGTACATCAGCTTTACTTTGGGCCCCCTCTGAGATTACAAACCACTAATCCACACATGTGATGCAAAGGCAACAGATTGGTCCACTGTGGAGGTATATAAAATGTTTTCTGGATGAAATGCTCCTTGAATAAAAATGAGCTCTGTTAATATTTAGTCTTGTTTTTCAGTTAATTTATGCTCCACATCTAAAGCAAACAGAAGTTACATGAAACCTTTTGGCCCCAGATGTGGGTTCTGTGAAAGACCTTATGCTTTGGTTTATTGTTTTCATTTTGTATGCAAAGACATAAATGAATTTATTCTAAAACAATGCCAGACAGTTTTTATGTTGGGCTTTAAATATGTTTTCTAATTTCTCCCAACAGCGGCTGCATTTCAGCAGGGAAAGATTCCTCCCACACCTTTCCCAGGTGGACCCCCCCCTGGTGAGTTTATCCTCTCAGCATTGTGTAAAACCATTCTTTACAAAGGCAGCGTAAGTTTACTGTTAAGAAGCAAATCAATGGTTCTGAATTTGTTTGCACACTTTGTTTTATGTTTCTCTGTTTATGAATAATTGGAGGCTGATGCAGCAGTTTGTTGTTGTCCTAACAAAAGGGAGGTTCTGTTTACTTGTTCATTAAAAAATGGCTGGAGCCACCTGGAAAGAATGTCACAAAAACAGGTTAACTTTTATTTTTTTGATTTACACAATAATTTACCAAATGGGACAAAAAGAAATGTGTAAATCTCCAATATTTTCTTTTCAAATGTGACCTATTTTGTTTGTCTTGTTGAGCCGAGGGGAGTCCTGGATGTTTTTCTCCCTCTAACGTGAGGTGCGGCATAAAAGTCTTAAGAACCACAGACATAATGTAAACCCTTTTTCTTTTTCTTTTTTTCTTTTTTACAATTTTTAGTTTTCTTTTTTTTTTTATTTTTGTGAATTAAAAACCAACTAATGACAATTTTTTGTGAATTTGGTCATCTTTTTAATTTTAAGATGAACAACATATAAACTCAGTAAACTCAGTCTAACAGCCTTTTAAGACTTTTCTTTTGTCAATCTGATAAAACTACACCCACAAAATGTACCATAAAGAGCAGCAGCTGTATTTCATGAGTAAAAGTGTGTGTATAGCAGAATGTTACTGCTCCAAAGTGTTTACTTGCATTAATTTGACATTAACTTTTGCTGTTTGTGATAAAGCTGGACCTCCACGCCCAGGTATGCTACCAACGCCACCAATGGGAGGCCCCCCTATGATGCCCATGATAGGGCCTCCACCACATGGGATGATGCCCGGTGGGCCTGGTAAGAAACATCTGGCTGGCTTCATTGTTTCAAACGAGCTGCTGAGCTTTTATGTTACAGCGTTGTTTTGAAACGGTTCCTAAGCTGTGTATCCCACCAATGTCACAGGCATGAGGCCACCAATGGGAGGACCGATGCAGATGATGCCTGGACCACCACACATGATGCGTCACCCCCGTCCCATGATGATGCCGGTCAGACCAGGAATGGCTCGCCCAGACAGATAAGGCTGAGGGGAGGCTTTGTTGTGATGAACAGATTCTGTCCAGTGAAAACACTTGGATTCTTTTTAAATTCAGTCGTAAACCTTGAACACAAATCCTTTTTAATTGACATATTTGATTTTTTTTTTTTTTGGGGTTTGTTTTTGCTCCCTCTGCTATTTATACTATTCACCACATGTGGAATAGTTTCAGGTTCTTTTATGAAACAACCGAAGACTTTATAAAACAACATCCTCAGTTTTAGTGTCACTCAGGTTCACAGTTCAGTCCACATATTCAACAAACATGTTTGACTTGATGGTATTTTCTCAATTTTTACTTTATTGTTGGTTTAAAATGTTTTTGTATGTCATTTGCATTGGTTTGGGAAATAAAACAATGCTTTGAAACAAACTTCCTTTAGACTAATTTATTTTACTGTTTTAATAACACTGCTACTCCAGCTAATAATTATTTAAATTGATACAATTTCTAATCAGAATCATCTTTTTAAAAATATTTTGGGTATTTTTGAAGTTAAAAAGGCCAAATGAAGACAATATCTGTCAAACTTTGTTAAAGTTACACCTACAGTCCAAGGAACAATGTTACACCTACCATTTTTAATTTGACGTTTTTATAATTTTCAGTTAAGCACAACAAAGTTTGTTTATTGAAAGTGTTATAGGCTTAGTATTCATTCAAAAGCTGAAAACTATATTTTTTACCAAATAGTTTGTCACTTTCCATTGGCTTTTTAGCTTTTTTCCATTGCGTACCATAGCATCTGATTTCACAGTTTATTTTACTTTTTTTATTCTACTAATTGTTTAAAATAAATAAATAAATCCTGTCCCAAACTCCAACATATTTGTATATAAATATCCCACCCCTGAACCCTACTGTATACTATTTCCTGCATCAAAGTTGGGAACTAACTTGGAGAGCGTCATGGAGCTTTTAGCATCAAAAAAGGTGAAAAATTTCCCTCAGGAGTCTGTGGAGAACGGCTAAAAGAGGAACCGAAGGTAAGTGATGCAGGGCCAAATGAATGCTAATGTTGGATTTTTATCTCCTGGATGTTGGAAGCTGTTGGCTGTGGGTTCTGGCATCTCAACTTTTTAATGAATTGCAGTGAATCTGCCTAGACATTGATTTATGAACGCTGTTAGAGGGGGAAAAAAATTCTGCAGCTCAAATTTAGGCTCCTGGCTAACAGCTGAATGTAATCTTGAGCCGCTGACAGAATTACAAGGTTTACAGTGCGTGTTTAAAAATGGTACTGACACTACATCACTCATAAGAACATCTGTTTGTTTTGAAGGGAAAAAAAACCCTTCAAGACAGTTCTGAATACACTTGAAGCTTTTCTCTGCTTTTCTGAGCATTTTCTGTCACCATCTGCTTTTTAAATGCAAACGGATGAAAACGCATTCAAAGTCCAAACAAATGTTTGCCAGAACAATAAGCCATGATAAGTCAAATCAATTGGATCTGCACACCAAATCTCATTAGAACAGTTTTATTATTTGAAGACGTTATTTGAAAACAAGTTTCCAATAACCATTAAGCTATCAAACTTTCATTTCGAAAATAACAATCATTAAGAGACACGCTGTCATTTATATACAAGAAACTACATACCATATTCCTGCCTTTCAGCTGTTGGGTCTTCAGCGGTCACCACAGTGAGTCATCCTCCTCCATCTCACTCTGTCCTCACCCCAACTACCTCCATGTCCTCTCTAACTGCATCCATATATCTCCTCTTTGTCTTTTTCCTGGCAGCTGCATTTCTCACATCCTTCTACCAATATACCCACTGTCCCTCCTAGACATGTCCAAACCATCTCAGTCTGGCCCCTAACTTTATCTCCCAGTTGGTCAACCAGTGCTGTACCTCTGAGAAACTGCATTAAATACTGAAAAGGTAATTGGTTAATCAGAAGGAAAGTCTGGATACGAGATAAAATCAAAGAAAAAGACGCTGTAAAAAGGTTAATCAAACTCATTGTAACCTTTAGGAGCTAAACTATTAAGCATATAAATCCAAAAACGTTCATGTTTAAGGACTTAATACTTTAAATCATTTCCTCTCCGATGATATTTTAAAGTCTTAATTCCAGTGTATGTTAATGATAAGATGATGTCTTTAGTGAATTGTACAACAACTGGACCAGATGTTCCATGTATTCTTTAAGCACTGCAATGTTCAGCAAAACAAGTCTTCTGTGATCTTGTACTTTTACCAACATATACCAAGTGAGAATAACATTTCAATATATAAATAACATCAGAAGTAGAGCAAGTACCTTATATTGTATTTAACTGTAAATTATTAAAAGTGTTAGTTTTATAAAGTTATACTGCTGACAATGTCAATGTGGATAATTACGTGAAAGAGTAGAATCAAGGAGTGAAGATCTGACCCCACCAGCATATCAAACTTAACCACTCTGTAAAATTTTAACTCGGTGCTTGTGTAGTGGACTAGGCCTGATGTCAAAACTGACCACATGGGACTGAAACTGTCATTTCATTGATTTGAATCCAGAAATACAGGTTAACCCATCCTGAGACTTTCTTTCTTGAATTAATCAAGTGGAAAAAGACAATTCTCTATGATCATTACTATTTTACAAATGTTTTGATAATCAAAGTGTTTTGGTTCAAACAATGTCTACATGTTGAAGTGAACTAATCATTTTTATTTACTTAAACAGTAGTAATGATTCTTAATCCTCAATTCAAAGTTAAATCAAGTTAGAGTACGTTACAGAGTAATGATTCAATTTCTTGATCGTCTGCTTTGAAGTGAGCAAATTTGTAAGTGTGTCAAAGTTCGAGTTTCGGTCAACTGAAAGTTTACTGAAAAGAAATGTCATGTTTAACTTTTACAGCAAGATACTTGGTGAGAGGCTCCACGAAGTCTGGTTTTTCCATGATATCTTTCTGTCTGTTCTTAAACAATCTGAATCTTTTCCTTGACTTTTAATAACACCTTACATCACAAACCACACCTCTGCTTTGGTCCATCGACCAATCAAAAGGCTCTCAAATGAACCGGAAGTAGAGCTCTTTAAAATGTGGGCACTTCCTAGTTCAAGAAGAGTTCAGAGAGTTCAGAGAGTTCAGCTCAGTCTTGAAGCTGCTGTAAGCTCAGTCTTGAAGATGGAGTAGCAGTTCAAGCAGAGAGTTTTTGGAATTCAGATGCAGAGAGTTTGGGAGTTCCTGAATGCAGAACGCGGGCATTCAGGATGCTGCTGAATTAGAATCAAGCTGAACCAGAGACGATTTTGGGAATTATAACTTCTGTTTGGATAACCTCACACGACTCTCGAGGTTCGAGCTGTCCTCACGGAGACGCTGAAAGAGTTGAAAGGAGAGCTCTACACCGATGCTGAAGCTATCATCTGCAAGGTAAAAGTTCTATTTCGACCAAGCGTACCGTTGGCCCAAGCTGGAAAAGAAGGAGCGTGCTGTTCTGGTTAAAACAGACAAATTCCCTCACACGTCTCTCTGTAAGATAAATCTCAATTTTCCATCTTTAAACTCTCCTTTCTGCTAGAAAATTAATCCAGATGTTTTCAGAAATGTCTGTGGTGTAGCAACGGAAAATCATGGCCGTATGGTTTTCCTGGTTGTAAAGCTGATTAATTATGTCGTTATTTTCCAATTCTTGCCAATTAATGTAAATGTGTGATGTGTTAAACTTGATTCTGTTAATAAATGACCCACTCGCTTGGTGAGTCAAAGATAATTAACGTCTCACGTCCACATTTTATTAAATTCACTGCACGTATGTTACACAGTCCAGAAAAATGAAAGAACCCGTTTAACTGTATGAATATATCTCAGGATATGTCATACTACACTTGTTTTCTGTATAAAAAATGCCACTTTTTAGTTTAAAATTTAGGTTATGTGATTGAAGTTGGGCATTTTAAATGTTGCACTGGAATAAAGGTTATCGGTGTAGAGCATTCAGAGTTCTCCTGAGTGGATGTGACATATGCTCTCAGCCTGTAGGTGTTGACGTGTTTGGAGGAAGTGTTATCCCTGATAGCCTTGTGGCCTGAACAGAGTGTACCCTCATCTGAGATGAGCATCACACTGAATATTACCAGCAAACAGATGGAGGTTTCTAATAATTCTCTACTAGATACATGAGAAACTTGACCCAGCACTCATTAATTTACTCAGTTAGGCATATTTGAAGAATTACACAACTTATGTAAGATTCATCTGCAGCCAGTGAATTATCCCCGCTGACATTTGCATGAGCATGGCTTTGCAAGAACTCAACGCTCTCTTCTTGTTTCTTATGTATGTGATCGTTTGTCTTTAGCTTTGACATTGGTCTGCAGCTCTGGAGCCACTTTTGTCTAAAACCTACATTATTCCGGGTACTTTTTTTAAAAATCAATCAGTATAAACTATATTAGTTTTTTTTTTTATCACCAACTGCGTAATTCCTTGTGGGGTTGTTTTTTCTTCCTTTTGGCTTGGCACTTAAATAAAAATTGCAGTTTCGCAAAATTAAATGTAAAATTTTCTAATAGTATATAAACAAACAAAAAAAAGATCCAAGTATGTTCTTTAAGACCAAGTAGATTTTGTGGCTCCATGCAAACTTGTAAAACTCCAAATCAAAAAACGAATTACCCTTATTTTTAAAGTGCAATAAGGGGATTTTGAGTTTAATGGTAGCGACACAAAACTTGGACGGGGCAACAAAAGACTGTAAGAGTAAGTGGTATGAATAAGTAAATACCTTAAACAGAATTTGCAACAAATAGGTTAATTGGTAAAAAGTCCATAGGACAGGGCAAAAGAGCATTTAGAAAAACTAAATCCATCAGATGGATCAAATGGGCAGAAGTTCGCCAGAAACAATGTGTCTAAACTAGTAGAACAATTTCAGAATAATGTTCCTCAATAGAAAACAGGGACAAACTTGAATAATCCATCATCTACAGTTTGTAATATCATCAAAAGACAAAGAACCTGGAGAACTCGCTGAGCTCAAAGGACTAGGATGCAAGTCAATATTTAGATGCCCGTGATCTTCAGGTCCTCAGGGGGCACTGCATCAGAAACTGGTCTGATTCTGTTCAGTTCTGGCTCAGGAACACCTCCACAAATCACCGTCCGTAAACACAGTAGCCATGCCAGCCACAAATGCAGGTTAAAGTTCTATCATGCAAAGAACACCAATCAGAAACGTCGTCACCTCCTCAGAGCTAAAGCTCATTTTAAAATGGA